TTGCGACATGGTCTGAAGTAACTTCCTTCCGTAGTGACGCAAGCGTTGCAGGAAAATAGCTCCATAGAATTAGCTATCAGGAAATAGATTAAAAAAATTTTGTTTTAAAATTGAATTTGATTTTCATTGCAGGACCATTGCGCATAGCAGGAAAATTGACATTCTAGTAGGCCTAGATAGCCGAGGTCGCTAAAGTTGAAGGGAGGTGAGTTGAAGGGAGATGAGTTGAAGGGAGTTGAAGGGTAGTAGCTGCCTCGGCTCGAGTGGTCGTGGGTTCGAATCACGCTTCGGAGATGGATTTGTGTGTGTGTGTGTGTGTGTTCGTGTTGTCCTTACGTACCCTTACAGGTCTTCGTACCCTTACAGTTAAAACAATCACAGTGTTTGCTGTATCACCAAGTTGTTAAAAAGAGATATGGATAAAACGGTAACCTTCAATTTTATGATGAATAAATGACGCAAGGGGAGCGCTATTTCGTAAGCGTGCGTGAGCGAGTAGGTGAGCAAGTGGCACAAATAGTGCGCATAGCAGATTTCAGGTATTTCTGAGCTACATTTTTAACACACCATGCGCAAAACGCGGATTCTCGTGATTGTTTTCGTGTGTGCGAAACATCGCGAAGCGTGTGCCAAACATCTGCAACGATTCGCAATGCTCTTTCATCTTGACGACTAGGGATAAGTATTCTAGAATAAGATGGTAAAATGATGCAAGAATGCATGAAAAATCTAGCCTTTATCATTTCCATAGCTATCTCTAATCTAAATATCTGAATTTATGTAATAATTTACATTTTGCTTATCTGCTCAGTAAATTGGTATTCTTGTTTGACAGGTGGGCAAAACAGAGAGATATTTATTTCAAAAAGAAATAAAAAATCCTGGACATCTTTAACTGCAGAAAATATTTCACAAATTCAAGAAATTTAAAACAATCACACGTTTCCGTTCCAACAAGCAGCTGGAGATATATTTATGTTCTTGGTCTCGTGTCAGCTGTAAGCGGATGCCCATATCACAAGATATGACGCATGCACAATGGGCTCAAACCTATGTAATCTAAATCAGCAGTTTAGTAAAAGAGAATGCTGCAACGTTTCATGAAATTACATTTGCATTAAACAAATGAATGCATCTATAACGAAATTATTTTTCTGAAAATTAATTGTCACTCAGAAAACAAAGGTTTATTATGGCGTCGATTCTACTTCGTTCGTTTAATGAATTTGCAATAACCTAGCACAGAGCAATAGTCTGACCGAAGCATGAAAACTGTTTTGATTTTGAAATAGTTATATCATAGCGTTTTCATCGGTTTTATCCCTAACTCGTCTAATATATTCCGCAATTATGAATTTTGTCTACTTGCAGATGAATGATGTTAAACCATTAGATCTATAATTGTTAGCAATCCACCTGCACCTCCCCTTGTAAATCGGTACTACTCGTAGCTCCTTCCAAATGCGAGGTATGATATTGTTATTTTAGTGACCTCCATTACTCGCGCTAAGAATGAGATCATGGCTTTCCCTTCTAGTTAGAGCATTTCTCCTGGTAATTGTTGTTCCATGTCAAATCGTACACTCATGAAACATCACTATTTTTAGCAACTTTTTTTAGGAGGTATAAGATTGCAAAGAGGTGACACGTATTTTTTTAATTTTTTTCTAATCTTACCCCTTTAAGAAATTTTACCAATTATTTTTCCCAATAATTCATGGGCGCTAATGTTTATTTTTTGCGCAAACACCGGTTCCTTCAGATTTATAAATTTACTCTTAAATTTAACTTTTAAAAAATGAACATGGTAATTTGAATGATGTTGGAAGCTTGAATGTCTCGTGTACCTCTTGTTTTCACTCCAGCACAAGGAAAACTGAAAAGGAATTGCAAAAGGGCAATCCACTCGGGCGGCATCTGGGATGCAATCGGTCTGTGCCTTTTTGGAAATGGAGAACAGAGACAGGAAATCTTGAGTGCGAAGTGTATCCAGGATACATCTAACAAGGAAAATACAAAAGTATTATCTCAGGTCCGTTTAGTCACCCTTTGAGTCAAGCCATTGTTCCAAATCAACTGGTTTTGAGGGGTTGGGAGGCGCTTTCAGGCTAAGCAGCCCTCCTTGTCGGGTGGATAAATGAAGTATAGGAAAATGATACGGTAATGGTGAATTTTCCTCTTTCCCTGACCAATTGGCAATTCTCTGCAAGACATTGGAAGTTGATTCTTGCTTGTGTTGCTGTGATCTTCAAAGGCCTATCATTTTTTACTTATTTTTATTTTTGTCTATTAGTATTTAAGTAGTATAGGGAAGATTATACAACGTTGCACAAAAACGGCAACTTTTCGCCAGAAAAATCGTAGTTTTCATGTAATATTGCGTGCAATAAAGGCAATTTTAAAAACAAGGTTTTCTAAAAGAGATGAAATATTTTCTTTAAATTTTTGTACAGATAGTGCTAAATGCAATGAATATCACGCCATCAACACCTTTTTCCCAAAGTCTTTGATTCTTCAAAAATTACTCAAATATAAGCCTCTTTGTATGTTTTTATACATTGCAGACGTTTTATACATTATCTAAGTACACGTGCTCCAAACGACTGTTGAAAAAGTTTAACAAAAACTCAGTTTTCTGTGAAACTGAACTCAAGTTTGAGGATTTTCAAAACTCTTGATCCACATTTTCTCAAAAATGGCTCCAAAGTTTCCTTGAAACATTCGGTACAGGCACTGAAATTCATTGAATAACATGACGTATTTGACTTATTCATTTGATTTTTCACAACATAACACAAATGCATTTTTTTTGAAAAGTCTCTCATGTCATTCATATTTCCAACAACGGGAATATTTATCCATTATTTCATTTGTGAATATAAATGTTTCAAATGATTTTCTATGAAATTTTTCGAAAACGCAAACGTTTTCTATGGATATGATCTCAAAATTACAATTCTTCAGCACGATCAAAAATATTTTCACAACAAAGGCTTCGTATTACCATTTAAAATTACATTTTACTCTTCAATAATATTACTATTCTATAATAGACACATTATACATATTTCTACTATTGTTTGTATGTCTGTATTTGGCGCGAAAGCCAGTGAACGGGCGCAGGAATACCAGCGACGTCCCTGTCTCGAGGTCATAGATTAAGGTTATGGTTTGCACGCGGAAATCCCCACTCCGTTTTACGGTCTCCTCAACCTGACAAATGAATTTTCTCATCTTCACACAGTAACATATACTGGGACATTAGTATGGACGCTGTGGAATGCGAACATGCTAATAAACGAGCCAACTAGGGCTAATTAGCCAATTACGATACCCAAATTGTGAGATTAAACCATGTTTCAGAAATGACGACTTGTAGAGTAGAAGCTTTTTCAATAAGCTGTTTGGTCACACTTCCCTCTTCACCGAACCTCGGCGCATATAAATTGGAGACCAAAAGAAAAATAGGAGCCTATCCCGTATGTTAATTGGGGACCGATCGTGAGGAGGACATACATAAATTGCGACCGACTACCTTATTTCCTTCCAGGTAAAAGAATTGAATGAATTCTGCTTATCTTGCCAGTCTTATATCCTTGTATCATTTTTTCTGCTAATATTCTTTAACGTTGAACATGAAATTTGGACACTGTCCTAGTTCTTTCTTCGCTTTTCATTTTTAATATAGGAGCGAGTCGGGAAGATTTGCATTAAGGCATACGGAAAAACTGGATAGCGCGGTGGCGGCGGCGGTGACTCAATCGCTTTAACTCGCTTACCTGCTCAATCAGTCCTTTTCTTACCTGGGCTGGTTTGGTCCGCAATATACACGTAGCATTAATTAGATCGCTAGTGAGGTAAATACTTCTAATAATTAAATATGGTAAATTACAGGTGGTGCCTGGTACCAAAAATTGATTTTGATACTAGGCAACTCTTTTAATTTACCATATTTAATACATATAGAATTAGAAAGCGGCGGCGATCGTGTAACGGTTAGCGTACTGGACTGTTGTACCTAAGTTGGCGGGTTCAAACCCGACCGAAGCCTTGGATTTTTAAAGGGCGAAAATATCCTTCGTAGGCCTTCCTTCGGAGGGGAAAAAATGCCGGCGGTCCCATGTTACTCGTATGTAAAAGATCCTCAAGCCTAAATGACGCCTCTGAGCTAAATTCAAATCGCCTATTTCTCGCCCAAGAAATACCTCCTTTCTCTGCTAGATGATGAAAGGAGCGTAGCGAAATTTGCGTGGTCAGACGGAAGAGCGGGCCTGATGGTCCGAGTCTCGCCACGTAAAATAAGGCAAACTCAATTCAATTCTAAAAAAGTACGTTTCGCGAGAAAAGCTCTAGTGATTATTCGGTCCCTAATTTTGTATACGGCTCCTTCCCTGCATGGCGGACGTCGCCAACATCACTCACGTCTCGGAGCAGCCGTCCCTCGCCACTATGCCTCGCCGACCTCCCTCGCCGCCGTCCCCCGCCGCGCGGTCTAGGGCGCCTTCCCACGTCGGGACGGCGGCGCGCTTCCGTCAAACATCAGAGCCCGTGGAAGGGGGTGAGTTCTGCAGGGGTAGGTTTCGCCGATCCTCCGGTGACGTCGAAGAAAAGGACCGCAGCAGGTAAAATGCAGTGGGCGGCACAGTGGGAAGGCTACCATTTAAAGCTGTGTTCTGCTAGCGGTGGCGCGTACGCGCTCCACCGCTTCGCGCAGCGACAGTTCTTCGCTGCTTGCGCACGCCCGCTGCACGTGGGAAGGTCTCCATTCAAACCAATGCTCTGCTACAAGCCGCCGTGCTCGGAAGCGCGCCGCCGTCGCGACGGGAAGGGCCCCCTAAGGAATTTGTTGATTAATAACTAGTAATAGTTGTTGATGAGGATTGATAAGATGTTGAATAGTTGTGTCGAGCCCCCTTTCTTAACGCTATTGGCTCGCACTTTGTTTATACGTTATGATTAAGATTTAAAGTATTAAAGTGCTTTGTTTTGTTTTGTTTCAGGTTTCGTGGATCAGACGAAAAGACTATCGACTTCTTACGGTGGGATTAGCTACATACAGCAGCGATGACAGATTCTTCACTGCCCATGTGCGGGGGCCTCAGGTAGATGAATCTCAATTTATAAAAATGTAATAACTATATTTGATGAGTTTGGCTACAAATTTTCAGACAGATTTAATGTATAAACAATACAAAAATGGTGAAACAGTAGCACTCAAAATAAAAATCATATACGAACACTCACCATTTAGAAAGACAAAAAATAATTATTCATTAAACTAAATATAGAAATATAGACACACACACACACGTGTGTGTGTGTGTGTGTGTAACGCATTATGAGTATTCAAATGAAGAGAATGCAATTAACAAATAATATGACTTATCTATTTTGGGCTTGAAATTAATGCAGTTTACAAACATCACTTTCTCAAAGCCGCTCCAATTTTTATTTCAGAGATTTCCCATGGGAAGAGAATAGAGGCTTAAAAAAAATGGCATGAGTTTCATTTTCGTTGAACACTGAATTTTCAAAAATTGCAAATGTAGAAATAATGTGGAAAGTATGAGCTGTTGTAGAATCACTAGTTGAATTACAGAAGTCATTTGTGATATGGTAGCTGATGAATTGTTTGATTATATAATGTAGTTAATTTAATGAAAACTTTTACAGACTTTTTAATAATGACGTAATCATGAATCATTTGAAACATTATCAGTTGGTTAATCAATTGCATAATTAATAATAGCATTCCACAGTTGTTAATGTACTGATTCTTAAACTAAAATGTTGCAACTTTAGTTAAATGAAAATTTGTGCAACATTAGGATTACTCATTTTATTTAACTGGCTATGTACTTACGATTCATTATTACACATTTATGTTCTAGTTTATTATAAGTTTAATTAATGGGTAACAAAATAGATATTACATCACTTCATTTTCGTTCTTTTCATACATCTTCATATGTCATGACCCACTTCCCGATCACCGCCACCTCCCGAGGAAAACATACTACACTTACAATACATAACTTAGCATTTGTCTCGATAATCAATCAATCGCTATCAGCAGACACTTACGTCTTCCATGTCGTCATCACTGACATTCAGAGAGCTCTAAAGAGGCCCCAAAAACATATCTAATGCAAAGTGAAGTCATGCAGTCGTAGCGCATGTAAGTCCATCTCACCCAGCTTTTTCTATTTCATTAATGAACAGCAAAACATTTTTGGATACTTCATGTAATCGTTTTAGTGTGGATGTTTTATACCGAAAAAATGTCATCGTTATAATGTGTTTTACTGAAAGTTAGTTTAGTAAAAATATGATAAAGTACTAGATGTAGGCATTTAATATTGGAGAGGCCGCGTTCTACAGCCAAAATGACCCCGAAAATGTGTCCCTGAATGGCGAAAGGTAGTGTGGCGTCCACTAAAAGGATGGTTAGAGACAATACCGAGCATCAAAAAGGAAATGTATACAGTTCACTGTAGATATATTGAACTCAGATAAAATTAACTTTCAGTTGCAGTAAACCGGAGTGACTAGTACCAACCCACATACATAACAAATACGCACTAGAATATTTGGTTATAATGAACTCTCAACATCGGTTATAGTGAACTAATTAAATACAGCTTACGAAACATGAAATATCGCCTCAGTTCCTGGAATTCATATAAGACTACGGATTTGGAGGTAAAGAGTCTCGTGAGTTATATTTGTAAATTTTTATTTTGAAAGAAAGGAATTGAGGGAACCATGACACTAAGGAAATTGGTACAACGTATTAGTGGCATTTCCGTCAAGCGTGAAGACTTCATGGACGCAAACTCCATGTTGAAGACTAGTGATAAATCTTCAGAGTGAGTGGACAATGTAGAATTAAATGTGAAGAAAGTACGTTGCTAATAAATCATCGAATTCGCGAGTATTTGGCTCTATCTCTGAAATAATCGAACTACTCGTAATAGTAGTTGAAAAACTGTATTGAATTTTTTGGGATCATCGAATATAGTTAAACCTTTGATATAGCAAACGAAAAAAGTTAATTCCTAGGGGTTCACTGAAATTGGAGAAGTCTGTATTGTTATAACAAATACATTCAATGTATTAGTTAACAATTAGACAGTATAATTCTAAAAGGCTAAATACACCTGTAACAATACTACTGTTCCTCAGCTTCTGGCTCAATGACTCCCACCTCCATCAGGTTTTTCGTCGAGTTTCCTTGATCCTTTGAGATAATGATAAGATGGCCCCTTGTTTTGCCCTTGGACATAAATGAAACTTCTCTATATGTCAATTTTTTCTTGAGCTTTTTTGGTAATGTAGATATTGAAACAATCGTTTCCCATTTTTTCGCGGCAGTTATTCGATTCATTCATGAACAGCACTAGTGATAGTAGATTGAATCCTTAGCTGATTTTCCTTTCCTAGTAGTTTATTATCGGGAGCGAATATTTTCATATGAATCAACTCTTGTGGATATATGTATTCACAATTCATCTTATGTTCATGAGTAAAACAGACATCCCAGAGCAGTAAACATTGCGCTTGCACCCATAGTACGTAGTTTTTGACGTTTAAATGAATAAATAAATAAATAAATAAATAAATAAATAAATAAATAAATAAATAAATAAATAAATAAATAAATGCAATTAAGAATCAAATGGTGTTGGCAGGACTGGGCGCTGCACGTGAGGTTCGCGCAGGCGCAAGACGCAGGGCTGTACGAGTGCCAGGTGTCCACGCACCCGCCCGCCTCCCTCTTCACCGAGCTGCAACTCGTGGGTAAGTTGACCATCACATTACAATCACGCGATCACTTTTCATCTACTCGGTCACAATTCAACTACACCAATACGTTTCAATTACATGCTCAGATTTCAACACTATCACATTTCGACTTTTTTATGTGCAATCTAAAATTCATTCAATTAAAAAAGGTGTTCACTTCACTTCTCTACAATGTATTCAGCATTCTACGTGATTACACTATGACGTCGTGGGAATCTCACTACAAATCAGGGAAAAGAGCACAACTATTTACAGAGGTGTATTTACAGTAATATTTATGAGCAAAAATAAATTAATGCATACCAACATCATATACGGCTTTATTAAAATGCCACCGGATCGCATGAGCAATCCCTAACTACCTAAAATTAATTACATGACTCATGATCCTCATCACTTATCAAAGACCTACGCGCACCGTCTACTACTACGTGACCTCTGTGAGAAGTGGAATTGATATTCCACTGCGGCCTCGTGACATTAAGATCCATCCATGGACATCACTCGTCTACGCACCGCCCTGGGCGTAAGTTTTGTGCATCCACACGAGGTCCCCCAAATCTACTCAAGAGACACCCTCTCCCGCTACTCGCGCTCGAGGTTTTACACTCTCATGCATTCTTGGCTTTTCGGGATGAGCCGCGTCTCGGTCAATGTTACTGACGTTTCGGCCATCTTGCTGTGGCCTTCTTCAGAGCTATAAGCCGAAACGTCAGTAACATTGACCGAGACGAGGCTCATCTCGGATAGCCAAGAATGCATTGACTCCGGCCGCGGAAGCCTACGAACTCTTTTACACTCTCAGCCCACGTGACTCGCGATGTCATCCTTCTCTTCGCGCGGCAACCAACATCACGTGATCATCGCGACATCACGCGATTCCACCACTAGACCTGCTGATAGATCCTACAATTCCAAGAAGTTCCCACATTTCTTTAGGAATGTTGTACATCGGTGTCCCGGGCCTTTCCAGACCCCGGTCGCTTATGACACTTTAACAGCATCGGTCTAAGATCTAATCCTAAAGGCCCTTTCGCAATGTAAATGTAAACATAAGCATAACGCATAGTCGTAAACATTAACAGAATTGATAGACTGAAGTATTCGCAATATCGAGCATAAACGTAAGCCAAATAATAGTTTCTATTGGCTTCGCGGTATTCTAATTTACTATTGGTTGGATGTGAGAATTGATTTCGTGGTATCGACTGTGTCCATGGCCCATCTGGCGTTAGTTCGTCAAACTACTTAGGTCCTATTTCGATTCTCGATCTTGAGTTACTATGATTGGTTCATTTCTTATGTCTTACGTAAGCATAAGCACAGAAGCTTGACGCTGGCAAGCTGTTAGGGTAACGTCTTAGGGTTTATGTTGGAGCAGCAATAAACGACAAGAGCAGAGCTGCGAGCGTAGCAACGAGAACGTTCACATGGAAACAAATGGAAGTGGTCATGTTGGCAGCGACATCAGCGAGATCAGCGCTGCGACCAGCGATAAGAACGGCGAAAACTCTTTGGTAGGTTTTCGCTGCAAGTATCGTTGTTCAGCGCTGTTCAGCGCTGACACACTTCAGGTGTTGTAAGTGTCGAACAAAATGATTGCTGAGAAATGTATCATTTGTGTTTTTGTTAAGAAGCAATTGTGGGACAAAAAGGACATAAATCACCGCAATAAGTTCGTTTTAGACAAATTGTGGGCCGCCTTAATTAGTACAATACGTAAGTTTTAGAGGTTATGTTACATTCGTTTTTCAATGAACAACAAAAATACAAATAATTATGATATGTCTGTCATGTTTATTGTTGTATTGTGTTGTGGCAAACTAAATGTTAAATTAAGTAAAGCACGTCATCATCTCGATGTGATAATGTATTATTCCGAGTTATTTTTGTAATGTAGTTACTCACAAGGTACCCCATTATTTTGTTTGCCATAACTACTCACTCCACCTGTTAATGAATTTGTAATTTTTGAATCCACAACACCTTATAAAACTAGAAAAGAATTTCTTGTTGTTGCAAGGCATTCACCCAGATTGATTCAGATGATTTATTCTAATGTGATTGCTATCCATTGCACCTTCACAATGTGGATGCAGTTCAAGGAGGCATAATTTATAACAGAAATTGTAAAATGAATTAATTTTTTAAATGTTAAGAACCGTAGAAGAAAAATGAAATGCCAGAAACATATTTTGTAACTAGAAAATGTATTGAAAGATAATTATTTACATTATTGGTTTTGATAGTACAATTAATATCACATTTCCTTGAATAACATATGAATTACACGTTTGTAATTAAATCAAAATTGAAGTGATTGGGATCAGATAATCCCACTTGCCAGGATTTGGCAAAATAGTGAGGTGTTATACCCTATATAACCCTCAGCCTTCCAGTTTATTACTGTTTAAGATTTAAGAAACATTTTAAATAAAACTAGCTTACCAATTACATTTATCACTTCCCTGATAATCTGTTTTCTTTGAAATGCAGTTCAGTTTCAACTTAAGAATTCAAAAGTATTAATTTACAATGGTTTTTGAAAAACACACAATCATTTCAGAAGTTTTCCATGTAAATCAAATTTCATAAAAAACTTAAAAAACAATTGGGAGAGAGTGTTATGTTGTTCAGTCAACATTAAATGAGGACACCTAAAAAATGTATCTTTTGGAAATGATTTCGAACATTTGATGGTTTTTTGTATGTGTAGTATTCAGACTTAATATTCATTTAAATTAAATACCAACATATCACCACACTATAAGCTCTTTACAAGCACAAACATATACTGAGAATTTAATTAAGATTGATAAAATTAACACCAAAATTATTGTAATAGACAATATTAAAATGTAAAGAATTCTTTTTTATTTTTAAAGAAAATAATATTTTGAAGTAGATTTTTTTAATTTACTTTTTATTTACTTCATGATATATATTGCATAACATACAATTATTTATATCACAGATCAAACAAAAATAAGACAAAAATCTTACTTCAATTTAATTATTTTGTTTAAATAAAAAATGATACTTCCCCTTATAAATACTGAGAAGGTACCAAACTGAAAACTGTGTTAACAGATGAAATTTGACAGACTATTGGGACTCTGAATAATAGAAATTGACAATAATAAAGCTCTGCACATATTTGAAATATTCTGTACATAGTCACTTTTTTTGACACAATTTCACACTTGTCTTCACTGTTTTTATTTTTCATATAATGTGGAAGAAAATATTCTTAATTTTGGAGATCCACGTAGGCCTACACCTTTCATACACAATAGCACACTTTTCCTCCATACAAGACCCAATTCCATAATTATTTCTTAAACACTCATTCTCATACTTTCAAATTTCTTTCATCAAGAGGCTAGGCTTCTCCCTGTAAAAATAAAGGAAATGACCATTGATTTTTTCTAATGTAATCAATCACTATCCACAACACAAAATATTATATTTATAATATATACAAATCTGATTCTCTTTTATAGTCAATGTAAATATGCTTTCAACTAAGCCACTTTTTATTTTCAGTAAACACTAATTTGCATAAAGTTAGATTGTATAATAATTTTTGTATTCGTGTAACAAATATTTGCAAAATTCACATTATCTAAAATAATTTTCAAGAAAAAATTAAGTACTGATCCAATTACTGATGCTTATAGTGATTATTTATTCTAATTACATGTTCGAAGCTAACCAACTTATTAATTATTGTAGACAAGGCAGCTTACCTCTAGAATCAGCAATTCTTTCTTCTCCTCGTGAATATTTTTTACTTTTCTCACTTTCTGCAATTTTCCTCCTTAGCACATTCATTCAAGGGCTTTCCGTCAAATCTCGACGCATCGATGAAAATGCCAAGCAAAATATAAAATAACAATACATTTCCAAAGCAAGCCACAATTGAATTCGCTTGCAGAACAAAAACTTGGAAATAAATACGCCCTAGCATCAACTCTCTCGTGGGATCCACAAACTGTTTGCCGCATGTTGCAGGGGAAATTGAGTGAGGTTGACATATCTCTTTATCATGCATCATATTATCCATTGCGTAGGGGAATGAAGTTCAGGTTGACTCCTACTACGGTTCCACTTAAATCGTAACCAAAAGCCAATTAAGCCAAGCAAATTAAGGAAGTATGGTGGGTGATGTACATAAGGTTGGTATGGTAAGGACGAGTTAGTTGGGCCGAATGTCCTGTAGATGTCTCTGGAAGATTCGGAGCGGCGCTGCTTCGCGATGCTCCGACATGAACACAAGCGCTGCGATTTCGCAACAACTACTCTCTCTTCGCTCCCATCGTTTATCGCTGGTCCAACATTAACGTACCCTTACGTGCTATGCTTATGTGAACGCTTTGTGAATGTGTCCGCTTATGGACTATAAGGCTTCAGCGCCTTCACGGTGTGAGGCTTTCTGCCTGTAGGAAGGTACGTTTGCAATTCGATACACCAGTCTAACACAATGCTTTCAGAATATGAAGCTACATCGCAATACCACACCACTATTTGAATCCGGAATCACATTACTTCCTCACGATCAGATTTAAACACGATCACATTACGAATTTTATGTGCAATCTAAAATTCTTACCATGGAAAAAAGCGTACAATTCACTGCTTTCTCCTCCTCTACAGGATTTTCCGGAACAGTTCCATCGTACCACCCTAACCCCCACAATGCTTTCAGATTATAAAGCTTCTTCTTCTTCTTCTTCTTCTTCTTCTTCTCCCTCAAGCATTAGACCGGTTGGTCCGTTGCGCCTCTTTGATCTAACCATCTTCTCCTGGGTCAACCAACGCTTCTTCTTTCTTTAGGGATGTACTGAAGCACTTGCTTTGGAATTGCGTTGTCTTCCATTCTTTCGAGGTGTTTTTTCCATTGTTCTCTGTATTCCTTAATTTTTTCGTTTAAGTTGTAAATTTCTATATTTTTCCGGATGGTCTCGGTTTTTAATCTGTCCATTCTTGTTACTCCCAGGACTGATCTTAAAAATATCATCTCGGCTGCTTGAAGTCTACTGTGTGTTCTGGAGTTCATAGTCCAGTTTTCGCTCCCGTAAAGTCCGCAAAGCACTGCCATAACTTTATAAAACTTTAGCATTGTGTCTTTACGGACCTTTCCTTTGAGTGCTCTTTGATGGTGCCACACATCATATTGAATCTTTCTATCTTCCTTACAATATCAACTTCGCCGAGATATGATACGTCACATCCTAGAAATCTAAAGGTATTAACCTGTTCAATAATTTTGTTTTCTAATATGAATTTACATCTTAAAGGTTGTGAGCCTTGGAATGCCATGGATTTGGTTTTATTTGTAGATATACTTAGATTATAAAGCTACATTGTGTATCACGCCTTATTTGTATTTCGAATCACAATAGCACTATTTTTAGCATATAATTTATTGGTAATGCTATCCACGCTTGGAACAATATTGACAACAACTTTTTAACTGGCCGAAAAATGATAATTTACATATTATATCACCACTTGAGGTCTATTTTGCTATCCTCCTTAAAGCTTTTTAAACCCGATGATTTTTTTGCTGTCTTGCTCTTACTTACGTAGGAAGATAAAGTATTGTATTCGTGCGCCAGAAAACGGCTAATTGTTGACACAAAACTGTTATTGCAAGGCTCAGGTGTACAATATACTTTAGAGTGATCGTAAACATTTTTCTAGGTAATCATTTCCAAATGTCACTTGCTTATAAAAAATAAGATTGGCGTGCACCGTAAGCCTTGATGATAGTGAAATACTGTGCCTTTCGCAATTTATTTGTGAAAAAATTGTTTTGAAAGTATTTTAACAATAAAATATTTATCGTCAAAAATAATTTTTCCCCTTATTCATATTTTGCTAAATTTTGCATAAATACTCTCGAAATGATAATGGGTTTGAGATTAATATTCTTTACATTTATATTAATTTGCATCACTTAAATTATAATGTATCTTTTTTCGGCCAAATTTGACGAAACATATATTCGTTTACAATTTGATTTTCTTCATAAATGATTATGTTTTCTTGTAAATTGCTTTTAAGGTAATACTTTAAGGTCATGTGTGTTGTATTAGTATCTCAGCGACTATTATTTTTAATATTTTACAGTATATTTTGGAATAACGTAAAATGAAAACAAAATGAAGATATCTGAAAAGTATTAATGGTATATAAAGCAAGGGTATAGCATTGCAGTTTCAGAAAAATACTAAACCGTTACCAATACTGCGAGAAAGTATATGCTATTGAGCAACTGTAGTTTTTCTTAATTCCCGAATCATATTCCCTCTCTTTTTTCTACGCTAAATGAATTACGAATAAAAGATGGCAGGGAACATTGTTGGCAACGTCTGAAATCAAATCCTTTTGCTCCAATGTAATAGAAAATATTTGCTTTGAAAAACGAGGGACAGATCTGATACACAGAGCTGCTGTTAAAATAACGAAACGTCCAGTCCTGTCACACGTAGCGAAATGGAAGCTCAAGCAAACGCGCGCGGATTATATAGAGAATGTTCGGGGAAGAAACGTCGACAATCGAAAATAAGCTCTTGAGACCATTTTAAGCATATTTTCTCTAATAAACTACTTGGATATTACGAATGGCTGAGCCACAATGAGCACTTAAATTGTATTTTTTGTAAATTTGCTTTCTTTACAAAAATTTGCATTTTAGAATCTTACTCCAAAAACGTGTGAATTTGGTATTATTTACAAAAGAAATTCATATACATGTTCTGAAAGAAAAATTATCACAGAAATAAAAATCCCCCAATTTACATGTTTCCGGCTATTGTACATCTGAGATAATTCTTCTTTCTGAACAAATATATTCATTTATTTTGCAAATAATAAACGATTCACATGTTTCTGGAGTGTTTATAAGTATCTTCAATGCAAATTTTTGCATGAAAAGTGTTTATAAACCAAGTTTTGAGTGCTTATTGCGGCTTAGTCATTCGTAATATCCAAGCAGTTTTTTAGAGAAAATATACTTAAAATTGCCTTTAGAGCTTATTTTTCGAAGTTTCGACAATTCCTGTCCGGACATCTTGTACATATGGAGTGAGCCGGGCTTGGTGTTGCGTCGAGGCTTCAGCGGCCGGGATGGGGGAGTACAGGATGGAGGAGAGTGGGCGGGAGAAAAGGGGATGGGAGAGAAGGGGAGGGGGAGAGGGGGTGTCGGACGCTGGCCATGCATAAATCCCAGTGATGACGGCGACACGGCCCTGGCCCGCGCCGCGCCGCGCCGCAGGTGCCACGTCTGTTATTTACGACCGCCCGCCGCACCGCCCACACTTTCTTCAGGGCTTTCCCGGAAACGTCCTCACAATCACCACCTTTCCACTGCCATGGCCTTGAGGCGAGCCAGAGAAGGATATAATAACCGAGTAGACTACGGATGTACTTAGGCATTCCGCTGGACGGAGATCTCCGGCAAATGTTTAATCAATATTTTATGTTAGTTCTTAAATACGTTAAAAATAATGTGTGTCCATCTTCCTATCAATCTTACAATAATGAAATTAAATCAGATACTAAAAAACATTGATAATGCATGAAACAAAGGACAATTAACATTAATAAAAATTACATTCAAATGCAAGTATTGTACCAATATAGCTTTATCTTTGTTATAATATTTATAACATCTGTTGGGAATTTTAGTGGAGAGACTCACAATTTTGTAATCCCTTACAATATTATTCCCTGAATCCATTACACGGCCATGATTCGTCACCTGTTCCTTTTTGCGCACCCCTTAATTCGGCGGTACCTTGAACTGTATCCATTTCAATAACTCTGCTACCTGGTGTTACGTAAAACAATAATTTTTACAGTTTTTCGAACTTTTCGTTTCAAATATGGTATTTATTTCTCCAACAATTGTTCCCAGGTAAGTATTATGGGCCAGTGATCGTGTGGTAGGATCTGGGACAGATGATCTGTCTGCAATCTGCTACTATTTAGTAATTTCTATCAGTCTGTCTCATTCATCCAAGCTACCATTGTATCAATCACCTCCAATTTCCATCTATTCATAGATTAATAATTTTAATAATGATCAGGGAACTATTGAAGTTCGAATAATTGTGAAGTAAGGTAACTATTGAAGGTGAATAATGGACCTACATCGGAAAGTGAAATTTACCTTTTCCATTCGAAAAAAAAAAAAATAAATCGGAGAAAAGAAGAAAGAAGAAACGCTGGGGAAAGGAGAGGAAGGAAATAAATGCGACTTGAGCTTAGGAGAGCGTCTTAGCTTTTGACTGCGTAGTTGGCGAACGATAATGAAATGGTAGAGTTACAGCGAACTATTGGTGCACGACGTGTCGACGACCATTTTAAATGCGAGCGAGACGCCAAAGGCAGGACACACTTCGCACACGCAGTAGAGCCATTTTCGCATACTACCGCTATTCAGAAAACATCGGTTAGCGTAATGCAAATGAAGTATTGTAATCTCCAAGTGATTTGCTTTCGACGCGGTATTAATTTGTTTCATTGGTCTTCTTCTGTGCTTACATACACGAAATGTGAAATTTTAATTTTTTTTTCGTCAAGGCTGACCCTCGATAAGCTACGAGGTTGATGTTTTTGAGTCGGCATTCAGAAAAGCCGTCTCCCTCGTCTGTGACGTCACCAAATGCACATCCTCGCCTGAAGACAACTCGCGCAGAGTCCATCTTTGGGGGAAGAAAGTGGAAAGGGTGAGAAATTGTGTTCAAAGTAGGCACCGGAAAGTTTGGCGGGAACTTGGGCTCAAATTGATCAAAACTGAATTGAGCTCGAACGGAAGTTGAACTGTAGAAAACTTACTTTCTCGCCTTATAACGTAAACTTCGTCTAAAGAATTCACGCGATTTTACCCAAAAATGATATTCTCTTTCGATTTAATGGAGTCGGAGGCCCTGCGAGTTTGAAACGAATATTTTAATGTTTGGGGTTCCTTTACATGTAGTCTCATTTATATATTAATTTTTTAAAAATTAAAATGTGTGTCTCCAAAAGGTCCTCTCTTCAGTGCCTCTCTCCAAAAGGTCGCAGGGTTCTAGATCCGACGATGACAGGGTATTCAACGCTAGCAAGACAGATAAGGCGAATTCACCCTTTATCTGAAGGAGAATTCTGGCGGCCGGCTGCTCTGATTGGTAGTTTTCTGTGGTTTCTCCGATCAATTCAAGGCAAATGTGGGAGCAGTACCCTAACAAACATGCCAAGAACCGCGCCATCTTTTCTTCCTCTTTCTTGTCTTATCATCACCCCACACTTATACACATACTTATAAGCACTACACTACCACACTTGTGTGGAGACTGGTCGAGTGCTTGTAGCTTTTCTCAGCTGAGGAGCTGCCCGCTGGTGATGTACTTAGTTGGAGAAAGTCCCTACCAGCCGATGTAGGTCGGTGCCGTGTCTCACCATTCGGCAGGGCAAGATCACAACCACATCACGCGATAAAACCTTGCACTGCACTTCTTCTTCTTCTTCTTCTTCTTCTTCTTCTTCTTCTTCAGGTACACGCACTGCCTGTTACGCATCCGTTGCCATCTAGTCATACTGATTTTTTTAGAATTTTCGACATAGAACTTGATGCTACTGGAGAGAGAGAGCAATGTGGCTGGAGAAGGCGTCGTGGTGTAGGGAGCTCTGCTGGTGGCGAGAAGCTGCTGGAGAGAGCGGTTCTAGTGAGACCCGTGGTTTTGGTGAGTATTGTGGATTGGCGTAAAGTCGCGTTCTGCTAGATAGAACCCGTGCCGTTATTGAGAGCGGTTTTAGTGGAGGGAGAAGGGTGAGGGAGTTTTAAAGAGAGAATCAGGAGACAAATTGGTTTACATGGAGTGGACAATTTTTGTGAAGAAGGTGGTTGTCGATGCTGGGCAAGTGGGGTTTGGAGATGGCAATGCGTGTGATTGCGGTTCTTGTGAAAACCCCCTCTTACGCAGAGGGGTTCTAAAACGAAAAGAGGTGTGGAGAGAGAGAGAGAGAGAGAGAGAGAGAGGGAGAGGGAGAGAGAGAGTGTTTCTAATAGAAAGTAGGGATACGGCATCGAAGTTCATGTTTGCAAAACATCGATGTGTCTTTAAAAATATCGATGTTTCAAACACCGATGTATTGAAGTCGATGTTTCTTAAACAGCGATATTTTGAACTCGATGGTCTTTTACATTTTTCATGGTCGTGGATGAAAAATACTCAAAATCATAATTTTTTAAAAGTTGAAATATGAACTAATACCTAACTGTTGGTACCATTGTCTATGTGTTCGTACCAAACGAACCACCTTCATCAAAAAGACTACATCCCTCCCCTGAGATGATCTAGATGCCCGAGTATTTCTTTCGTGTTTCGTCGTATTTTGAATGTGAAGAGGCGTTGTTTAATTTGATTTAAGATACATTTTAATTATTAACTAATATGCACGGTAACTGCCAAATTAAATTTTTGAGCACGAATTTAATGTTAGTGGTTATTAAACAAACTTTAAAATATCGATGTTTAAAAATATCGATTTGGATCGATTTATTGTTAACATCGATGTTTTAATTTTGAACATGTTTGGCAACATCGATGTTCTCTTGTCAATGTCGCATCACTAATGGAGAGACTAGAACTAATAGAGTATGTCTCACGGAGAGTTTGGTTTTAGTGCATGTACTGAAGCGTGTGAAGAGAAAGATAGCGGTTCTAGTGAATGTGCCGAAGCGAGTGAAGAGAGAGTGGTTCTAGTGCATGTACTGAAGCGAGTGAAGAGAAAGAGTGCGGTTCTAGTGCATGTACCGAAGGGAGTGAGGAGAAAGAGAGTGGTTCTAGTGCATGTACCGAAGCGAGTGAAGAGAAAGAGAGCGGATCTAGTGAAGACTCCGGTCGTAATACATCAGTTCCAAGGAGGGTGAGGATGCGGTGGAGGGAGATCAGCAGGACACGGAGAGCGTGGGCGGAGCGTAGGCGGCGCATCTGTGCGCGACGGTCCTCGATTTACGCTCGACGTCGCTTCGCGTGCCAAGCCGCGCCCCCCTCCCCCGCGCCCTCCCTCCCACCTCCCACACCCACCTGCCTCTTCTCAGAGTCGTCTTGAGAAACGCCTTTTCACCGCTGGCGCGAATTTAGGGCCATCGAAACTTCCGACTTTTCTCTAAATCTACTGTTGTCTGATTGATTGTTGTTCCAGTCACAACTGCTACGGTCATATGTTGCGTAAATGTAGTGAATGTTTTATAGTGGGAGGTGGCGGTGATCCTCCTTCATTGGTTGGTGAGATCCAACGACCATCTTACCCGTCGGCTACCGGGGTGTTCCGAACCAGGTACCTCGCACCAGCGGAACACCATCCCAGCCTGGACAACCTCTAAGCTCCTAACTAATCTCCCTGCTAGGAGCTCTCTGTATGGTAGTGTAGCGCATGTAAGTGTGCACGTAAGTAAGGCGTGAAGGTAGGAAAAGGAAGGAAAAGGAAAGATTCGTTTACTTTTTGTTAAGTTACTACTTCCGGCATTCACCTGGTGTTGATCGGAGAAACCACGGAAAACTACCGATCAGAGCAGACAGATAGAATTCTCCCCCAAGAGGGACCTGAACTCGATCTAGCTAAGTAGCTAGTGTCGGCACTCAAATCATATGTCCTTTCTGTTAGAGTCGCTGCACTAGGTACCATTCTGGCACTGAGATAAATGCATCCGGTTTATATAACGGATCCTAACGTCACGCATTCTTGGCTATCCGGGATGAACCGCGTTTCGGTCAATTATACTGACGTTTCGGCCATCTTGCTGTTGCCTTCTTCAGAGATATACTGCTCTGAAGCTCTGAAGCTTCAGAGCTATACGTATCCTACCGTCATTTTGTAAACGCCTGCGCGCTTGTTAACTGACGGTATGAAAAACTAATAAAGAAAAATAATTGTAGCCTCGTACTCTGAAAACACATGAATCCGGTGAACTGCTTAATAAGGAATCTGGGACACATGTTATTGCTTTCCGTTTATTTAAATTCTATTTTTTTTTGTTTAGCTAGACGGAGTAATTGGTTTGTCTGTTCCAGCTACAAATATCTTATGTAAACTCAAATAGTGTAGGAATTGTTTTTGGAAGTGTCTCAGAAACTATACTGCCAAATGTCTAGAAAGTCCATTCATTCTAAATTTAGAAAAAAACGTCGCCTTATAGATTGCAAATGCTTTATTTTCTTTAAAATAACACATGTACTGAGCACACCATTAGGAGGTATTTGTTGTTAGGATCGCAGTCGTGAAAGGAGGCTCGTAGAATGGCTCGTGAACTAGAGTAATATATTTAGAGCTAAGAGATCAAACTATTTGTAATTAATATATTATACCTTATTACTCTTTGGCCCTTATTAATGTAAGAAGAGAAAGTGTTGTAATCGTGCGCCGGAAATCGGCAAATTTTTAACACAAAAACTCTTATTGCATTAAGTGAAGAAAAGAAAATCCTCTCACACGAGAAGAAGCCAGAGTCCATATTTTGTGCATCCTTTATGCCAAAAAATCGATTGACGACAAAACGTCTGGCTGTCCGTCCGTTTGTCCGTCCGTCTGTGGATTTGTCTGTCCGGCTATATCATAGCCCGTTCAGTCGATTATCTCCAAAATTGATATTCCCCAATCGTTCTAGACAATGTCAATGTTCCTAGGATTTGAAACCTATATTTTAATTTTGGGGGGTAAAGACCGATAGATATTCAAAATTTTGAAAAAAATGGCTAAAAAAAATTGGTTTAAATTTTTTTGTTGAATAGTGCAAAGGACGTTTACGAAAATGAAGCTAGTCTAATTTTCGATAACATTCCCCAGTTTTTGAAAATTGGAAAAACTTAAAACTTCAAAATTTGAGATAGATATTATTGTCTGGAGCATTGTACACAATTAGCTCTTTAAAAAAGTAATGTACATTTTTTTTTTGAAAAACGAGTACGAAACGAGTACGAAACGTTTTTGCGTTATTTGCGATTGAAATGTACAATTTGTTTCTCATAAACCGCTTCAAATTTTTTCTTTAAATTTTGTTCACTTATGCAATAAGAGATATTAAAAATAGTTTTCCGTGATTTCTCTGATCCACACCAGATGAAAGCCAGTTCAGTATCCTAACAAAGGGGCCATAAACCACCTGTAACTTTCCTTTCTCTTCCTTGTACTATCCTCACCCCTTACTTACACATTCTTGCCGTAACATGCATAAATTATAATAAATAAGTAAATAAATAATTACACTACCACACGTGCCAGGAAACCAGACTGGAACTTAGAGCTTGTCCCGAATGGCGCAATGTCCTGCTAGTGGGAGATACCTGATTCGGGAAAACGCCCTCAAGATGACGTGTAGGTCAGCGCGGGATGAAGATACGTACCACCTCCCTAGATAAACATATGCACTGCTCTTACGGAACTAATGACCTTAGCACCTGACGAGTCTGGAAACGCTTCGTGGCTTAGTACATGTTAGCTTCAAACATCTTTGTCAAACACCTGGAATGTTATGGGCCTGCCTTTTATCGGAAAATATCGAGTCTTGTCTGATGTCGTATATATAATAATATGCTAAATCTTCGAAAAGAAACGGTTGGAAATATCTCTAATTTCATTAAAACATGTTATACTGTAATTGTTATTAATTTAATAATAAACTATAAACAAAAAAGTTATTAGGTTCGAAAGGAATATTAATCACATTCACATAATTGTCCATGGTTTCGCCCCAATACAAATGTCGAGTTTCGGCACAGTCTATCTATTACCGTATGGTATTCAGTGCCATACTTCAAATATTGCACGTCATCTGTTTATCAGCGCTAATTAATATTAATAGATTTTAGACGATTTTATTCGTTGCCATGGTGATTCGGGTTTTCTCCACAGAAGCGTATTAATCACTCCATGATTGATGATTCACACACGGGATGGCAAAATGTGGAAACACTGGTATCCTTGTCCAGATGATTGGAAAATGTTGAAGGCACAACATGTCTCACTGTCGTGTCTATTGAAACATGCCGATGAAATGACATTCAGAATTACATTGAAGTCATCTTTATTTTGTGTGCCAGTCATTTTGCATTGCACGCAATATTGAAATTGTTAATTGGTGCTTCACACGCAATAGACACCACTACACTCTCATTTGATAGAGTTCTCCCTCCAAACTTTCACGTGTGATTAGACTTTCATTTCATGTTTAATTTGTGTCAGATTGAACAAACAAGCCATCTCCAATGTAACTGCGTTGTCAGAAAAAAATAATTAGAGTGCGTTTTCCCATTATATGCTCTTTGGTTCTGCTTTTTGGAACTTTTAATCAGATAACAATGTTTACACGCGTAATTAAAAGGGTATGATGATGAAATTGGAATAAACTAGTGAATACGCAAAACAACAATTATTATTACTAAAAAGGATGTGTTATGTATCCAAAGATGAGTTTCGAAGATGAGAATTCAGGTTTGTCATTATTAATATCGCTACAAGATTAACGAGGTGCTTGGTTATTTGATAATAATTGTTGCAATAATATACGACATAGAAACAGAAATGAAAAGAGTCCTTTCACCAGGGTCTCTGTCCAAGAAATCCTGAGCACGAGTTCTGCTGGTGGCAGGATTTTTCACATTACGTAGATAGTGTGACGTAGTGAAATAAGAAATAAATTTCAATAACAAAATAAAAATGATATATTAAAAGATTATGTACAAGTTACAATAAATTGCTAATATTAAAACACTCCGACAACCTTTTCCTTTCAATACCCTGATTTACCGCAGAAAAAATACAAGCCACGCGTGATGTGAGCTGTCGGACCTCCGTCCCGTGACAATTACCGTCACATGGCCTGACGCCAAAATTTAACCCGGTCGTGGCGACCGTGTGCCTACAGCACGCGAGATCGTCTGGCTCTTACTCTCCGGACATCTCGCCCACACTCCTACACCCCTTGTACATAAACGTACAAGCTTCCCGATGCAAACTGAATGGGAACGCGGGCGCAGATGGCGCCGCGTTAAATAGTTGAGGCTGACACCCCCCACCACTGTTCCATAGATAGGCTCGCTGGCCAGCAGCTTGGTTTACGCCCACACACAAGATTCTCAGGTTGGCTCTCTTGCTTAACCGTAAGCGAGGCTCGCTGGCTAGCATCCTCGGAGTTTACAGCCTACGGTATTTTTGGCTCTGCGGCTCTACCTGAGTCAACCGCCAGAGCGCGAACTCCCGGAAGTTCAGGCTCAACCCCTTCCTCCCCCGCAGCGTACTTTCACCGACCTAACGGTTCTGGCCCTCGTGTTAACGACGCCACAATAGTAAGGTCGAGTTCAGCCGCTGTCTGATAGAGAATTCAAGTGGCCAGCTGCTCTGACCGATAGTTTTCCGTGGATTATCCGATCAATACCAGGTGAATGCCGGAGCAGTACTCGAACAAGTGGGCAACGAGCCTCGCGCGATCTTTCCTTCTTCTTCCTTGTCTTTGTGTTGTCTAGGCTATCCGGGACGAGCCGCGTCACTGACATGGTGGCTAACGTTTCGGCCATAGTACTGTGGCCTTCTTCAGAGCGTACTGCAGTACGTTGTGAAGAAGGCCACAATACGCTGACCGAAACGTTAGCCACCATATCAGTGACGCGGCTCGTCCCGGATAGCCTAGACAACACAAAAACCGGCCGCGGAAGCCTACACAACCATATCTTCCTTGTCTATCCTCGCCCCTTACTTAAATACATACTATCATGCACTACATTATCATAGTTGGCAGGAAACTTGACGGGAGCTTAGTGTTAAAGCTTGTCCCGTTCAAGGCGGTGCCTCGCATTGTGGACGACACCTGGTTGTGGAAAATCGCCGACGTGAGTCGAAGCCGGATCTCGTCATCCAGCGGCGGAAGATCACGGCCACCTCTCGCGATGAAAACATGCGCTACACTTACGGGAGAAATGACCTTAGCAGTCTACGCGCCCGCATTCACCAATCAATCCATCAGTCGAAAAATTCGGAAGCTTTATTTACGTAATAATCATTTAATTATTTAAGTATACATATACATTTGAAATAATTAGTAATATCTGGTTCTTGCGAGTGAGAAAATATTGGATTACATTTGTTTTATATTATTATTGTATTGATGAATATTTGATTGAGAAATGGAAATGCCTCCGTGATTTAAATATTTCAGTTATCTATTAGATATATTAAAACGTCTATTTATTTAAGACAGTCAATTTCAAATAAATTGTTTGATTGATTGTCACCTCTTTATTGTTTTAAATTGGCTGTGTATAACCAATAGATATTTGAATCTAAGACTTTTAACTGACGATCATAAATATAACATAATTTAATATATTATCCCCTTAATTCATTAAATTTCATATGAAGAATGTGATCCAAATTTTACAAAATTGTTTGTACTTTTATGGGTTTGCCGAGTTGAGAGTGTAGATATCAAATCTATTCAGTGTTTCTTTTGTAAATTTAGTATGATTCACAAACAAACGCCCATAACGTGGTGCATGGGTCAATTGCCATCTCAGTTGCTCTGTTGATTATCCCGCAGTGTTGATTTTCTCCATGGGGTTCTCCAGCACTCCAGTTAACATATTTGTCAGAAAGCAGTTGACCTACGGTCAAAAAAGAAAGATATATTACTACTTAATACTAAAGCATTCACCCGACCTGACACATCGCGATTGCACACAATAATTTAATTACTGAATTCTTTACGCCCGTCCGGTGATAAAAAAATTACGTTATTCATATTTAAACGATAATTTTATTTCAAAATTTCTGTGTCCCTCTCAAAACAAAGGAAACTAAGAAATATTTGTATCCTCCTCTCTTACATCATATTTCGGTTGTTTTCCATGTACCAGATCTACGACTTATTTCAAGAACATTTTACAAATAACGGAGAATAAAAACATAGACTAGCGAAATAGTTTTTTTTAAAGCACTGGAATGAACACGCCTCAAAACCTAACTTCGGTGTGCTGAATTGAAAATTGCTTGCCAATTTTTCGTTTCACGTACGCTTTTCATGGAACACAGAAAAGAAAAAACCAATGGTTTAGTAATTTTTTCTTAATAAACATATTTCTCAATGTGCGCACTAGAAAAATGACAAAGTACTAATAATACTTAAATAAGGTAAAATAAAAATAATATTTAAAAAATGTTAAAATACAAAACATGTTATCAGATAGTTTCAAAATTATGGCTGGTCTCCGTCACTATCCACGCAACTACGAATATCGTCGCGATAAGCTTGAAAAATAGGAATTGGCGCTGTTAAAGTAAACCCAAGAGGTAATATATTTAATGCAAGTATGCAAAGTTTAGCAAGGTTCCTTGATTGCTTAGATGTTAGTTTGACTCGGTTTGTCTTTTCATATTTCACTCCCATAATTCCCATTGATAAGTTCCTGTCTTCATTCCCTCCATAAAAAACATGTAGCATCAATCAACTGTTTTCATATTTCCCTCGCATCCATGATCCTTTCAAGCCAGGTAAGTTATGCAGTGTATATCTAGCTCCGTATCGAAAGTAATAACAAGCTATAACGTATCAGTAAAAACTTAATTTGATTTCTAGCCCGATTTTCCTATTCGAGCAGATTTTCCTATATCTTGTCAGAAGTTCGCCAAAATGAGAGAAAGAGAGAGACGGAAAGAGACAGAAAGAGAGAGATAGAGAGAAAAAGAGAGAGAAAGAGAGAGAAAGAGAGAGAAAGAGAGAGAAAGAGAGA